ATTTCAATTGTTTGAATTTGTCGCAGATCTCCGTCAATGACTGATCGCTGGCCGGAGAGTCGAAATTGTTTGCAACCAATTGCTTGAGATTCAAACATTTGGATGAGACGAGCGCTGAAAAGGCCGACACTTGTAGTTTCCAACAGTAGGATATGTTGACGTATTCAACACTTGGCGGTAAGAGTGCCAGACATTGACCGGTAATCTGAGTGCCGCAGACGTTGAGCGCAATCAAGTCGAGTCTCGAGCGCAAGATCTTCAACGCAATGCCTTCTGTGATCTCTGAGACACACGAGACGTTTAAATACTTCAAACTCTGGAAATGTGTCTGAAAATAGCGGCCCATTTGTAGTGTGAATCCCTCACAACTGTCCAAATTGAGTCTTTCCAGTTTCGGACAATTCGTGGACAACAGCTCTAGTGATGTCGAGTCCATTGTGAAGCACTCCATGTCCACACTCTTTAGGTTTGGAAACTTACTGATAATGTTTGACACCAATTGTTTGGTGTGTTTGAAGGTAACCTTTTCGTACTGTTTGGGACATTGAGTCACTTCGAGCCACTCTTCTGGGAACCAGTCCTCGAGTCCTTTCTTGTTGTCCACAAAACTTACTGATTTGCGGACCAATAGAAGCAAACGAATCAAACAATTCCAGCGTTTGCTGACTGCCATTGAACTGAATTGATGTCTTAAATCTAAGTACGAGAATATGATGAACAGCTCGTCATCTTTGAGATCGTTTATTGTCACCGATTTGTTGAACATTTTGTTAGTAGTTGTGCTATTCATCCAATAATTTTGTAACTTGTTGTAAAAATTAACATATTTTTAACTTTATTAAACAATTGTTAAAATTTTAGACTATAAAATATTCAAAAATTGATAGTTTATGGCTTTACCAACAATGAAACTTGTCAATAAGTAATAGCATTTGTAATTTAGTAATTAAAGTAAAATACATTATATTAATCACATTATTGCTGTCCGTGCCATAGAATGTCAGTTTAATTTGAATTTGAATTGAATTCAATAATTTGCGAATTAATATAAACTGATTTTAATCGCTATTTCATTTGTGTTTTCAGAGATTTTATAAATAGATCTTTAATTAAACTAATTCTCTGTCTATCCGTCTGACTGTTAGTTATGGACTGTTGTAGTAGTAGTGACAGCAAAATTGATGCCAAGAAATATCCAAATCTGTACGAAGCGTCTAAAATGACTAAAACAGCGGCCAATCAATCGGACATCACTTCACAGACTGTGAAGAAGTTGACGACTAGAGCGCAACTGGAAACGGCCAAAGCGGGCACGGATTCAGTTGAATTGGCCAAAGCGGGCACTGATTCAGTCGGAGTAGAGGATCTTTTGTCGCCCCCGTATAGTGCGGTCAATAAGATCACAGACAATGTGTATTTGACGGGTGTTGGAGGTATAGTACGCGAGAATATAGTGGGCCTCAGGATCTCATGCATTATTAACGCCACGTATGAGGCGCCCAATTATGACGTTAAAGGGCTCGAATGCATTAGAGTTCCCGTAATATACTATTATAATTACATTAATTACTCGCAATTAATAAGCATTTTTTGTATTGATTTGAAATTATTACAAATATGTGTATTTAGATCGACGATACGGTCGATGACGACATTTCTCCGTATTTGGAAGAAGTGGCGGACAAACTGAATGAAGTGGTGTCTGAGAATCGGAGAGCTATAGTCCATTGTGTGGCCGGAATCAGTCGCTCCTCTTCTCTGGTTTTGGGTATGTTTTATAAAACAATTTGTTTATTAATAGCCCTCTAATCAGTTGTATTTGCATTTATAACTCGATTCAAACCAAATGACAGCATATTTAGTGAAATATCAGAAATTGACATTAAAGGAGGCGTTCATTCATTGTAGAAAGTGTCGAGAATTGTCTCAACCAAACGTCGGTTTCTTCAAATCACTCATAGAATTTGAGAGAAAAATGTTCGGAAAAACTTCCGTTCAAATTGTGATTAAGGAAATCAATGGCCAAAACGAAGAGATGCCGGACATCTATGCAGAACTGGTTAACTCGAGTGTCAAGACATTGAACACCGCTGTCCTCAATGCCGCACACATTTAGGCACTTATCGCCGGTGCTGTCAGTAAACCATTGCTTTGCATCGCTTTCCAACCATTTTCACTATTATATCCATCAATCGATTAGCTTTTTATAACTTTTCCCTTTTAAAGTTTATTTCAAATTCATATTTTGATCAAAATTTGTAAAATGTTTTAAATATAAATTAATAAAAACTAATTCTTAATTTTGTAATTTATTGAGTGATTTAATGTATTAATAGTGGATTATGAAATGTGTACAGTGTTTTGGTGCCTACGAATGTGGACTTAAATAATAAAATTAATTTCTTAATTTATTCACCCATAAAAATATGAAAAATGACAAATTATAAAGTGACCCAATGATTCTAGCAACGTTTACATGTATAAACTTTGTATGCAAAAAATCACATTTAGTTATACCATACGGAATATTCTGTAATAAGTTTTACATAATTTAGCAGATTTTGAAGATCAGGTAAAACGAGTAAATTGTAAAACATTGCATACCATTCAATAGCACTCACGAGATATCAATAACAAACAATTCATTAGTTTTGGGTAAATATAATTGTTTAAAACAGATCTCAACGTCTCGATCAGTCAATCAATTATTGAATTATTTTGAATAAAAACCATTTTGTGATAACAGTTAACAGAAAGAGTTGATTCGTGTCTTCATTTATAATACATTAATTGCAAACTTCTGGTGATATAACGAAATGGGAAACTGTTGTGGAGGAGGAAAGAAGGAAGAGGCGGCGCCGCCACCGCCCGCACCCGATGGACAGCCACCGCCTCCACCCGCCGACGGGGCGCCGCCACCAGAAGCACAGCCATCAGGGGCTCCGGCATCGGGAGCGCAGTCGGCGCGTTCGGGTAGTGTGACGGGAGCACCGAAACAAGG